GTTATTGGCAGTTTCTAATCACCCACTGGGTTCTTTATGAAAATAATATATTTTTAATTTTTAGAACTTGTATTTTTTCTCCAAATCTACCTGGTCATGTTTGATAGCTCTTGTTCCTGCATTGTTTTTTCAAATTACTTTTTATTTCTTTAAACGTACTCAACATATGTAATATGTATTTTGTGCCTAAAAATTACAATATCTGTTGTTGCTGTAAGTGTGAGTTTACAGTCCAATGTTTCTGCTCTCGCTTCCTTATGGGGGCATGCTTCCTTCTGGTTTTCAGAATTGTTTGCTATGAATTTGAAAGTTCGTTAAAATTTTATCCATGGGAATCCTTCAAAGCCTGGATTTAAAGCATGTTCTTCCAGAGAATTGCACTTGGTCATGCCTAGAAACACTCCTAAATCAAGACCACTTGAAACTTTTGCTTTCCCAGCCCCCCCCCCCCAAGTTTAAGGGCTTAGCAATATAAGACTCCCCCCACTCCCACCCCGAGGCAAGATCTGTTTGGACAAGTATCCTTATCTCTCTTTTATAGACTGAGGGTGTTGCCTTTGGGGATCCCTGCTTTATGTCAGGGTCTCTGACTCAATATCCTATTTGGTGTGGGCCTCAGGCTTTGTCTCTAGTCCCCAGATTTGGTCTGTTAAAGGCCTGGCCTCGGGCAGAGGAATCTGGAGCTACTGCCAAGGCAGCACTGGCCTCGGTGCAGGCTTACCGTTTTTGGTTTTATGGTGTGTTTTTTTTATCCCTTCTGTTATTGCTTTTCTTTATCTTCCTACTGGCCCAACAATGCATTTAAAAAATGCTTTTAATGTTTTATGCATCATCTTTGTTGTTGTTGTTAACCCTCACCCAAGGAGAGAGTGAGAGTATTTCACCAGAGCCCCGTGCAGTGAGCTGTGGTTTCTGGGATGTGTGGTACAGAAGCTATTTCCATCCAATTTGGACCCAACCAGAGGTTCTGACCCCCTGAAGTATTATATATATACTAGAGGCCCGGTGCACAAAATTTGTGCACGGGAGAGGAGTCCCCTCAGCCCGCCCTGCACCCTCTCGAAATCCAGGACCCCTCAGGGGATGTCCAACTGCCAGTTTAGACCCGATCCCTGCCTGATCGCCCCTAACCACTCTGCCTGCCTGCCTCATCACCCCTAACTGCTCGCCTGCCTGCCTGATTGCCCCTAACCACCTCTGCCTCAGCCCCCACCACCGTGGCTTCATCAAGAAGGATGTCCGGAATGACATCCAGAAGGTTGTTAGGCTGTCCAGTCTAATTAGCATATTATGCTTTTATTATTATAGATATATAAAATTGATTTCAGACAGGAAGGGAGAGGGAGAGAGAGATAGAAACATCAATGATGAGAGAGAATCATTGATCGGCTGCCTCCTGCACGCCCCCCACTGAGGATAGAGCCTGTGGCCTGGGCATGTCAGTCTGCAGGCCGACGCTCTATCCAGGGAGCCTAACAGCTAGGGCACCCCCTGAAGTCTTGATGTAACTGTTGTCATTCAGGCCAGCCTGATTTACTCAGTGATTTTTCTCCTTTCGGGATCCTTCATGTGGAAGATGGTTTCTATTCTGATGACTAGATCATACTTCTTTAGAATTTATTTTTAGGTTTTAAAAAACAACAACCCTCATTCATCTTTGCCCCTTTACACTTCTCAGCTTATTCAATGGCACTGGTCCTTAGTTCCTGCTTCTGTCCCCACTAATACCTCACTGATGGCTGGCGGTCAGCTCTTCTTACGAGTATCTCCTGTCAGTTACACGGATTCCTGCGGCTCCTGCCCTAGGCAGTCGAGGAGGTTGGTCCCTTGTCCTTTGTTTGGCTGTTCAGCAGCTGATGCCTTGCTGTGTTGGGGTCAGGCGATCCTCTCCCAACCTAGGCCCTAGGGGGGCAGGATCCCCAGAGAGGGGAAGTTATATGTGCCCCACAACCCCCTAGGGCGGGAGGAGTGGGAAACCCAGGCTCAACTGAGAGGAGCTAGATACTCACCCCTGGGGGTTCTCGTCATCAAAGCAGGGACTGTGGTGGTTCCTTTAGAGGCCGGGGCGTGGGGACCGGTGGCTGTGTGCTTACTGGGTGTGCACGGGTCACAGGGTAAGAGACTCAAAGGCTCCTTTGCCTTCAGGGAGAATGCAGGGTGAATTCTGAACCCTCAGACCATTTACCCCGTGTTGCCAAGACTCCTTGCCTTCCTGCCTGTGTCCTCAGAAGCTGCAAAAGCTACAGCCAGGTGGCACCTGTGTTGTCAGATTGCCCCCTTCCTTCCTCTCCAGATCGCTGCCAGACCTCCGGGCTCCCTTCCATCCCTTTGCTGTCTCCCCCTCCCAGCACCCCTTCCTCTGGTATTTGCCTGAGTCTGGACCAAGCTGCAGAGCTGCCCTGGCTCCTCAGGAGAGCTCTGGCCTGGTGGGCAGAAGGGTCTGAGCGGGGAGAGAGCACCGCGTGCTGGCCTCTCCTCTCCTCTCCTCTCCTCTCCCCTCCAGCTGCTCTCCCTTCTCGCTGGGCTCAGAGCAGGGTCTCTGGCCTTTGCTGCTTGAGTCACTTCCCCAGCCCTTTGTCTCCTATTCACCCCACCTCACACCCTTTGCTCGGTGTCCGCAGGACCTCTCTGGGGGCACCGCAGGGCTCCCCAAGAAGAGGAGTCATGGGATGCTGAAGGGCATCAGAGACAAGGAGGCCGTGGCAGAGCCTGAGGAAGGCCCAGTCCACTCGGGGAGCAGCCCCACCTTCGTTCCCCAGGAGACCTAACGATCAGGACGCAGGCCTCTGCCCACACTCTGCCAGGCACCCCGGAGACCCCAAGCCCTTTGTCTCTCAAAGACCAAAACCAACTCACTGTCTGCCCAAGGCCGAGGGCAGAGCGTCACGTCCAGGATCAGGATGAGGTGGGATCTCCCCTTGACCATCACGGATTTCTTCCAGAGCAAAAATCATAAATCCTTCGGTCTCAGGACCCCTTGACATTCTTTAAAAAGTAGGACTCTGACGAGCTTTTACTCGTGTGAGTTGTTTCTACTGACAGTCACCACATTAGAAATTAAAATAGAGACTTTTAAAGAATATTTATTTTAAAATAACATTTATTACCCACTACGTGTGAACATATATAACACTTTTATGAAAAAGAATAGTTTTCCACACTGGAGACAGCTTTGCCGGGGAAACGCCGGAGGCAGCCTTAGAACCTGTAACGTGGCCCTCGCCCTTCCTCCGCCCTCCACCGGCTTCCTCTCCCGTTTGCCCTCCTGTCTTCTCTACCAGGGTGACGTGGGCGCCCCCCAGCCACCCAGGGCACAGGATTGAGTCTGACCTGGGTGGGATGGGGCAAGCTCCAAACCAGTTTCCTCAGTTATCAGGAGAAACCCGATGCTTTGGGGGGGGCGGGGAGGGGTAGAGCTGTCACATGCAGGATCAGGGGTGAGGTAGGGTCTCCCCATGCACACTCAACGCCCGCTTTCCCAGTTTCATTCCTGGAAGGAGACTGTGACCTGCTCCTCTTCCTATCACCCTCAAACTCAACCAGGAAGATGCCGCTCATTGGTTTGAAGAATAGGAGACTCGAGCTGGACTTTTATGGTCTGTGAAGAACACTGCATTCGTGCCCACCCACACCTGGTCTCTGGCCCTGCCGGGCCCCGTCCAGCTGCCCAGAGCAGCTCTGCACAAGCTCTCCAGGCCCTCAGCAGAGACTCGGTAGATTTACGAGGTCAGCCTTGGCCCAGGCCCTCTCCCCATGGCTCCCAGCCATAGTCCAGCTGCTCTCCCACATCCATGCAGCCTGACTAGGACGTTCTGTGTCTTTTTTCCTGCCTCCACCCCAACTTGCTGAGTCACCCCTTCAGTCCCCTTCCCGCTGCCCCCCGGGCCAGCCCTGTGGGAGAACAGCAACTCCTCACACCGGTGACCCCCAGCCACTGCCAGCCGGCCCCAAACCTCACTTACTCTCATGGTGGCGATGGTGGCTCTAAGGCGGGTACTCTGTACTCTTGGGATTCTAGTCGTCTTCACCCATCCCCTTTCACTCAACAAAATGGTGATTCTTTCTCTGTCTGGACTTCTGGCTCCTGAAGCGATACCTGATCTGGAAGATTCCTTCCAGTATGTGCAAACTCTGTGATTAGTCCTCAAATGATTTCTTCAGGACCAGAGGTAAATTCCACTAGAACGCTATCAAATTTCTGGCTCCCCATGGCAGGACTGAGGGAGAGCCTGGGAGGGCAGTGTCTGTGGGAAGGAGTTGACCCGAGAGAGGTCACTTGTAGACAGATTGTAGAAATAATGTTAGAGCCAGTGAGTCCTTAGGCCAAAATCATACAAGAATCCCTCTGGACCCGGACCTTGTTTTTCCTGGAGGTTGGATTCCTAACATAATGGAAAGAGAAGACTGTAATTATCATCCCCTGGAAGAGATACACATTCTTCTTCTAAGGTCCTTCAAGGATGTGATTGAACCAACCGACATTCTTCTTATGCAAGGCCTTAGGGTGCTGCGGGTTCGTTAAGGTGGCGCTGCCTCGGGGTCAGGTCTTCTCGGATGAGGCAGTGGGGACTAAAAGTGTCTCGGAAACCGGAATGCAAGCCATGCGAGCTTTATGGCTTCACCTGTAAATAGAACTCACATCAAGGAAAGAGTGGGAGGGTGCAGGGCCCCGAGGGGGAGACACTGTAGTGCTGAGGGGCAGCTGGAGAGACCATAATGCAGAGACAAGCCTCCTAATCGCCGTCCTGCCTCTTTGGCATCCGTGTACGTCGTGGTGAAATAACAAAACGTTCCCTTCTTCAGTTTCCCCTCTGCTCATGCGACCCCAGCCCAGCTCTGTTCACACGCACAGCGGCCAAGAGCGTGCCTGGTCCCATCAGCCCCTGCGGCTGCTGCCATCCTAGGCCCCTCCCTCTGCTTGCAATCTCCAGAGGGTTTGCAGGAACTTTGGGGTGTGATGGGGTG